TGGCATGTGGGTGGGATGTTTTCTGAAGTTGGCATGTGCTCCATGGGAAATGTGGAACCACACCAGGAGGCAAAAAGAACAACCAAGGGAAGGAACAGAAGGAGCTTTCCTGATTCTTTGAAGTGCCTTTCCACACAACAGTCTACAGTCCTTTTAAACCACTGGCCTCCAAACTTTAGTCCCAGCCAGCTTAGAAATTCTAGGAGCTGTGGTCCAAAACATCTGGAGGACCAAAGTTTGGGAACCACTGTTTTAAGCAGACTCAGAGAGGCTTAAAGTGATGGAACAAAAAACCCAGAAGTTCAGAAGTGACATGGGGAGAAAGAGTTCCTATAGAAAGCTGAACAGAACTGGAGAAAGAGGAGAAGGAAACAGTACTTAGAATTGCTCCTCACATTCCCTGCCTCTTACTACGTTAGAAACTGAGGGGCATGAAGATAGGAAACTAATGCAGGAGTTTATCACATGGGGAAAATTGAAAGTTTCAATTGGACAGAACCCAGAGTTATCCAGGATATTAAGCACAATTGTGCAATTGTTTTTCAGACAACATTGCATGCAAACTGCTTAGGATTCAAACAGAAAGTGACATGAATCAGGGAATAGACATTTTCAGGAAAATACTGTGTTTTCATTTCCATTTCATTCACGAATTTGCTTTCTTTGCACAATTGCTGTAGCATGAAAGCTACTTGTGGAATTCTCTCTGTTTTGGGGCATGTTGCAGATTTTCCCATGGTTCTTTGCTGTACTTTGTTGTGCCGAGAGGGACTCAGCCTTTTATGCTTCAGCCAGGGCTCTTAAAGGATCAGCAGAGAGAGAGAGAGAGAGAGAGAAACAGCTTGCTTCTCCCCCTAAGGTGCTTCTCTCCTCCTCCAGCCTTCCCCATTAGCTGGGCTCTTAAAGGATCAGCTGGTGAAGAAGGCAGGGAATGCAGCAAGAGAGAAGTTTTATCTTTCCTTTCCTACTTCTTTGGGTAATGTTCTGTTCTTTTTACTCAGGTTGGGTACCATTTCTTGGAAAGTAAGGGCAGCACAGTATATTTTTTATAAAGACAATTGCATGATGTGATGGAATTAGATAAACTTACCTGTGCTTTAAGAGATCAAACAAAAGAAAAGTTTGAAAAGGAATGGTTGCTGGTCACTGAATATTTATCTAATATATGGTCACTGTAAATTACTGATAACTTAGAGGCTTAATATAATATGCACTATTACGGACGTTCAAGTTAGCAAAACAATTTAGAATAATGGAATGAAATGAAATGAAATAGAGAAATAATTTTAGAAAGTCAATCATAATAGATTATGATGGGTTATGGCTATCAACAATTTTGAAATAAAATATAAATAGTACAATTCTGTAGGAAAAAAATGTATTAATGAAAACATTACAGATGTATGTGACTATATTTGAAAGACATTATAGAAATATTTTGATAACCAAGATCAAGGAAGGGA